TGGGCCTCACCTGAATTTTGTGAAGGGCTCAAAATATTTGAAAAGGATTCCTTCTGAACATAAGCTATAACTTGAGTATTCTGGAGCTATTATTTAGGAAGACCACTTTTCTAAAAGATTCTGAGCTTCACAGTTTGAGAAAGCAGTAAATGATTGAGTTGTTTTCAAAATTGTTGAAAGATTAAATGTCTGATGAATGATCTGCATCCCAGCTTCTCAGAAAAACTAGTTTTATTCTGTCTCCTGAGAACAATAAGCATGATAAAGCGATTCTAAGTTGAATGCATCACACATTGTAATTGAACACACTTCACTATTCCCGATAACTGGAGATGAGTCTTGATTTCATGTTTGAACCATTATTATATCAAATGATCAAAGATGTTGTACTTTTAGTGTCTAGCTAGAAGGATAAAAGAAAGTTCAGGAGCAGGAGACAAAAGGTCTCTATCATTTGAAATGAATTGTGTCATCTTTGGCCCTGCTGTCAAGTCAATTCTGATTCATAGTGACACCACAGGACAGAGTAGAATTGCTTCTTTGTTTTTTGTAGATTGTACCTCTTAACAGGTGCAGAAAGCCTCATCTTTCACCTTTAGAGAAGCTGATGGGCTTGAATGGCTAACTTTGTGGCCCAATGCATTACCCATTACACTACTAAGAATCCTTCTCATCTAGGAACTGTAAATGAACTTCTTTTTGGTAACCTTCTGAAACATTAAAATTTTAAATCCCAGTTCTTTATAGTTTCTTTATCTTCTTAAATATACTGGTCAAGGCCAACAAATAAAGTATCAAATAACTTAGAGTTCTGGCGGCATAGTGGTTATGAGTCAGGTTGCTAACCACAAGGTTAGCAGTTCAAACCCACTGGTTCCATAAGATGAGGCTTTCTACTCCCATATGATTTACGGACTCAGAATCCCACAGGGGCAGTTCCACCCTGCACTGTAGGGTGACTATGAGTCAGAATGGACTCAATAGCAATATTGTTTTTTTTAAGTTTATAGAAATGTTTCATTATTTCTTAATTCCATGTTCTATGACTCTTTAAAGCTGCCTCTTATGACATCTAGAGTGTTGCTTCATCTCCTTAGCTTCTGTTATTCCTGATAATATCTATCATAATGGATAATAGGTTTAGATTAAGTAAAGTACTTGGCACTTAGCAAATGATCATCGAATGATCACTAGTGTCATAATCATCATTATTATTAATATATAACTCTGAGACTCTGTGAATTACTTGGTGTTAGTGCTTTCATCATATTGCATATGATTCATATGAGTTTAGAAACCTCAAAACTTGTCCTTTTCTCAAAGAAAAGTCTGTACAAAAACATATTGTCCTTGAACCCAGGTGTCAATGCTGTGCATGCACATACTTTAACCAGTGCTCTCTAAATATCCGAAGCCTGCGTGATGCTCCTGATTAGCCTAACCTGCCATGGAGGATGAAAGTCTCTCAGACAGGTTTTCTGTTTCTTCACTTGGATGACTACTTGGACTTTATCTGCTGGGGGAACAGATCACTCTTATCCTTACTTCTTTTACTTAGAGCTGCTCGCATATTCCAATAAGATAGAGTGGAGGGAGGGTGGGTTGGAAAGCGGGGACTGATTGCAAGGATCTACATGTGACCTCCTCCTTGGGGGATGGACAACAGAAACGTGGGTGAAGGGAGACGTCAGACATGGCAAGATGTGACAAAATAATAATTTATAAATTATCAAGGGTTCATGAGGGAGTAGGTAGGGAGGGGAAAAATGAGGATCTAATGCCGGGGGCTTAAGTGGAGAGCAAATGTTTTGAGAATGACGAGGGCAATGAATGTACAAATGTGCTTGACACAATTGTATGTATGGATTGTGATAAGAGTTGTATGAGCCCCTAATAAAATGATTTTTTTTAAAGAGAGATGCCAAAGCAGTATGGATAACTGTCTAAAACTGTATTATAACTCACTCTTTAGAATTTAGGAAATTTTCAATCTCAAGAATTTAGGAAATTTTCTATCTCAAGAATGAACACCTGTGTTAGAAACATGGACTATGCAATGAGTGCAAATGTCCAAGTGACTTCAAAGAAGACATGCACTTTAAGAGACAGAAGGACAATATTGTGGTTGATAGTATGGACAGAGACACAATTCAAGTCCTGCCTCTTCATTGATCCGGGGCAATATACTGGAATATCTTTGCAACCCTCAAGAAGACCACCAAAAAAATAGCTTCATGAGAAAAATCTAGTTTATCCAGTGACCCTGTGTACAACAGAACCTTCCCTGCCCGGTCTGCTACTGTCCTCTCAACGGTTTTCCTATTGGAGCCTCTTGTTGCAGCCACTTTGTCAATCCATCTTGTTGCGGAGCTTCTTCTCGCTCACTGACCTTCTGCTTTACCAAGTATGTTGTCCTTTTCCAGGGACTGGTCTCTTCTGAGAACATGGAAAGTACACGAGAGAGTCTCCCCGTCCCTGTCCTGACCTATAAGGAACATCTGTCTGTACTTCTTCCAACAGAGTTGTTTGTTTTATTGGCAGTCCATGGTACTTTCAGCATTCTTTGCCAACACCATGATTCAAATGGGTCGATTTGGGGTGTGAGTTCCTTACTCAATGTCAACCTTTCACTTGCATATGAAGCAATTGAAAACAGCATGGCTTGAGTCAAGCTCATCTTTGTCCTGAAAGTGATATCCTTGCTCCTTAGAACTGTAAAGAAATGTACAGCAGACTTACCTAATGCAATACGTCATTTGTTCTCTTGACTGCTGCTTCCCTGAGCATTGATTGTGGACGCAAGCAAGATAAATCCTTGACATCTTCAGTTATTTTTGTTTATCTTGAGGTTACCTTTTGATCCAATTGTGAAGAATTTTGTTTCTTTACATTAAGGTACAATACGTATTGAAGCCTGCCATCCTTGATCTTCATCAGCAACTGCTTCGAGTCCTCTTGGTTTTCAGCAAGAAATGTTTTTTTTTAATTTGCTTTTCACCCAGGTCGTTGACAAATCTCACTCTAATTCTTAAACTGAGTTCTTCATATAGTCCAGCTTCCTATAAGTACAGTGAGAGGACACAACCCGCAATCCCAACTTTCCTCACTTGAAAATATGTCCTATTCCCTTTTTTGTTGTTGTTGTTTGAAAAACTGCCTCTTGATCCATGTGGAGATTAGTCTTGAGCACAATAAAGTGTTCTGGAATTCCTATTCTCCTCAAGCCTATCCATAGGTTGTTATTACCTGCCAATTAAACGCCTTTGCATAGAGTAAGCATCGTTCGGGTATTCCCTATCTTCAGCCAAGATACATAAGACATAAGCAATAATACCCCTTGTTCCATGTCCTCTTGTGAATCTAGTCAGAATTTTTGGCTTATCCCTCTTTATGTACGGCTATAACACTTGTTGGAGGATCTTCAGTGAAATTTTACTGGCACGTGATATTATCAAGCATACTTATTGTAAATGAGAAAATAACATCTGCATATTGCATTCTTATGAAAACATCACTTCTTGTGTTTCCCAACCACATATTGCCCCATGAGGTATGACATATTGTACATGGGTTTGAGGGAGGGGAGGCAGTTTCAAAATGAACACATAAGGCTAGATTTATTTGTATGAAATTATGGTAGTCTTAGTCTGAGTCTCTGGATGGCTGGAAATTTGAACCCACTTAGAGGTGCTTCCGATGAAAATCCTGGTAACATGGCACTAAAACCCAGAGACCCAAATGGAGCACAGTTCTACTCGATTGCACACGGGGTCAAAATGTGCTGCACACAGGGTCAAAATGTGCTGGAACTGACTCAATGGTAACAGCTTTATAGTCTTAAAGTGTTTCAGAATAGTAAAGTTGAGGGAGAGCTCATAGAGTTTCATGGCATTTTAAAATCTACTCTGGGTGACTTTTAAAATGGGTCTTGTAAGTAAATGGTCTGACAATCCGAATTTAAAACAAAATGTCTTGGGAAGTCAGCTACAGCAAAGCGGGGAGTCTACAAGCAGCCCTAACAGGTAAAACTGTGATTTGGTTCTGTCTTTTTACCTACTGAACTCAAACCAAACTCACTGCCATGCAGGGGCTATGTGCTCATAGCGACCCTATCGGACAAAGTAGAGCTTCCCCGAGAGTTTTGGAGACTGTAACTGTTTATGGAAGTAGAAAGCCTGGCCCCGTCTTTCTCCTGTGGCGTGGCTGATGGTTTCAAACTGCTGACCTTGAGAACCACAGCCTGATGTGTAACCACTATGCCATCAGGGCTCCTGCTTACCTACTAGGAGCAAGCAGCCAAGGTATTATTGCGTGGATTCAATAATGTTGAACATAGGTTCAGGAGAGTAATGCTAGGTTTAAGTATTATTAACATAGGAAATTGTTAGTGTTACTTGTTCACTAAGCCAGCCCTGGTGACATAATGGTTACTCATTGGGCTGCTAACTACAAGGTTAGCAGTTCAAAATCATTACCATGGGAGAAAGAGGAGGCTTTCTATTCCCATAAAGAGGTACAGTCTCAGAAATTCTCAGGGGCAGTTCTACCCTATCCTTTAGGGTCCCTATGAGCTGAAATTGACTGGATAGCAATGAGAAGCTTTAGAAACTTTATATTTCAAATATAAGGTATGAGAAATAAAGTAAAACATGTAAACCACTCATGTCCAGGCCCAAAACTGAACAAGATGCAGAGTAGCTGCGCTCGTATTATTTTCATTGGACCTTATGGAAAAAAAGAATTTTGATGCCTTCGTCATAAAGCCCAGGTTCCAGAATCAGACTGCCTACTTTCAGATTCTAGAATATCACTTTCAAAAATTTTTAATTCTTAAACATATTGTAATAAAATTTAAACTTTCTTTAATACACTCCCCTTCTCCTGCACTTGGGATCTTGGATCTTTGGCAACTGGTCAGCAGTATTCCAGCAGAATGGATGGATCCAAAGCGGATGCACCTATCCAATCTACACTATTAACAGGCCTTATTTTATTTACAGAATGACATGAATTACATAGCATCCAGTGGTCTTCTTTTTAAAGATGGGAAAAAGCGGATTGATTACATCCTGGTGTATAGAAAATCAAATATACAATATAATAGAAGAAATGCCTTTGAAAAGAACCTCCGAGCAGAAGGTTTGATGTTGGAAAAGGAGGTAAGCGCTTTCATTTTACTCCTTGTGTGGCCAAAGATGCTAAAATAGATAAGTTCATATTTTTAGTAGAAAGTGGCTTTTAATAAATATGTTTTATTCAGCATAAAATGAATATGACATATCTTTATATTATACACACCAACCAACTGCTGCCGACTACTTTCTAACTCACAGCTGACCTTTCAGTTAGCCGTCCCAGAACTGACTCAGCAGCGCCCATAGGGCTCTTCAATTTACTATTATAACCCACTGCCATCATATTGGTGTGGACTCACAGGGAGCCTGTAAGACAAGGTCGAACTGCCCCGTGAGTTTTCAAGACTGCAGTTCTTTATGGGAGTGCAAAGTCTCCTCTTTCTCCCATGAAGCAGCTGGTAGTTTTGAATTGCTGACTGGTTATTAGCCCAACAGGTAACCAGTTCAAACCATGTTTGCATTGCTAGTATAGTCCCATCTAAATATGTATTCCTTTTTCATGCTATACACTTAATGATTATTGAGTTATTTTCAAAGGGTCATGACTACTTTTGTAATTATAAAAACTGAAGAATTTATAGCTGTTAGCCATTTAAAATAGAATCCCTAACACAGCATTCCTCACTGAACCATGGCACCGTGGGGGACAACACTGGAGACACAATGCGGGAATAGTGTATGGTCTTGCCCCATCACGCTGGGGCAAGGCACTGAATGCATGCAGCAGAACTGCAAGGGGAGCAGACTGATGAAACCCCCGGGGAATACCAAAAATAGACTGGAGACAGAGTGTGGCACCCCATCAGACTCGAAAGCACTCATAAAGGTTAACAAACAGACCTCGAATTATTTATAGGTTTTTCCATTTTTGTCAGTGGCTTTCTTTTTGTTATTATTATTTTGTTCTTGATTTCTGCTGTTGTTGTTATTGTTTTGTTGATGTTGACCTCCTTTGTTGTTTTATTTGGCTTTGCCAGGTTTTTGCACTTATTAATGTATCTGCATGTCTATTTAGATAAGATAGGGGGAATAAATAATTCGGAGATGAAAAGAACAGAACCAATGGTACTGGGGATACATGAGAAGGGGAAGTGGGAGAAAGGAAATGGTGGGGAACAAACCCAGGGACAAGGGGAAAAAAAGTGATCAAAAATCAATGAAAGGAAAGTCGTGGGATACCTACTGGGGCTCAATCAAGGGCAATGTAGCAGCAAGGAATTACTAAACCAGAATGAAAGCTGAACATGATAGTGGGACAAGAGGAAAGTAAGAGGAAATAAAGAACCAGGAGGCAAAGGGAATTTATAGAGGCCTAAATATAGACATGTATATATATATACACACACACACACACACACACACACATATATATATATATATATATATATATATATAAAATGAATGGGGAATAGAACTATGTACTCATAGCTATATGTTAAGAATTAAGGTTGCAGATGGACATTGGGCCTCAACTCAAGTACCCCCTTAACACAAGAACACTTTGTTCTAATGATCCGATATTCTGGGATGCTCACCTTCCCTACTAGATCACTGAAGACAAAGTGGGTACATACGCAAATGTGGTGAAGAAAGCTGATGGTGCCTGGCTACCAAAAGATATAGCGTCTGGGGTCTGAGGCATGGAATGGAGACCCAATGCCCATCTGTAGACAATTGGACATCCCCTCACAGAGGGGTCACAGGGAAAAGATGAGCCAGTCAGGGTGCAGTATAGCACCGATGAATCACACAACTTTCCTCTAGCTCTTTGGTGCATCCTTCACCCCACTATCATGATCTCAATTTTACCTTACAAATCAAATTAGACCAGAGCATGCACACTGCTACAGATAAGAGCCCGAAATATATGGAATCCAGGATAGATAAACCCTTCACAGCCAATAAGGAGAGCAGAGATACCAGGAAGATTAGGGATGGTGGGGGGAAAAAGTGGAAATCAATCAAAGGATCAACCTGGAACCCCCTCTCAGGTGGACGAATAATGGAAAAGTGGGTGAGGGGTGACAGAGAACGATGTAAGATATGGAAATAATAATCTGTAACTTATCAAGAGTTTGTAAGGGAGGGCAGGCGGGGGAGGGAGGGGAAAAAATGGAGAGCTGATATCGGGGGCTCAAGTGGGAAGAGCATGCTTAGAAGATGATGATGGCAGCATATGTGCAAATATGCTTGACATACTGGAGGAATGTATGGATTGTGATAAGAGATGTAAGAGCTCCCAATAAAAGTATTTTAAAAATTAAATAGAAACCCTAAAGATATGAAAAATATTAATGTGAAAGGAAAGAGTATGCCAGGTTGTTAATTTCTGCTTTAATAATATAATTGAGTAATTTCCCCCTTATTCTTTTATTTTATACCTTTATTTAAATGGTTTTAAAATAACATTACATAATAAAAATATTAATATGCTCTAGGGAAAAAGGAAAACTTCTATTGCTCTCTCTATTGCATTATATACATAGTAGCATATTCCACATATAAATGTTGAAAACACATAGTATTATTTTCTAAAGATAACCATCTATGTAGGGCCTTCTAGGGATTTATAAAACAAATAGACACATATTTAGGCACATTACAGTAAAATACACTTTAATGTATCTTCTTCCTTCTCTTGCTCCCAAATCATACCCATACCCTTTTCTCTAATGGTGGCCCTAGCAGTCTAATTTTACCCTGCTGTATGAACTTCAAGATATTTTCTATTTATTTGTAACTGACCATATGATATTTTACATACCATCCTGCTACCCAAGTCCATCATTTAGCAATATAGTATGAAGATCATAAACCATCAGTGCCTTTGAAACCAACGTATTGTCTTACCAAATACGTGGAATTACAACATGAGGATTTAGTCAGTGACTTTTCTACTGGAAACATTTTTACAAATTAGGTATTTGAGAGGACTCTAAATTACTACTGCTTGGCTTTAACTAGTTTTCTGAAAAACTGGAATAAGAATCATGTAGACCTTAGATAAATTATTGGATTATATATCTGGGTTATTTGCCAATCAGCTTTGTTATTCTCCAACAGTGGGATTGTTTTCAGCTACACAGGTATGCCATTGAAACCTTTCGAGTTATAGCCAGTTAATATGGCCCTGCCAGCCGTAATTCCTTATGTGATCTAATTCTGGAGTTTATATGCTTGTGGCTGTAGTCCAATTTTGGAGGAGAATCTCTACTAAAGAACAAGATAAGAGAGGATTAGGATCTGACCTTAGTAGAGGGAGTGAATTGGACCACGTTGTTTCCTTGATGGGATCTTTAAGATCCAACTTTAGAGTCAGACGTGAACGAAGCCACACTCTTTGTTTTCCTGGGCTATACAATTCCACACACTGATCCGCTCACCCAAAAAGCAGGACCTCAGTTTTCTGAGTGAGCTTGCATAGAAGAAAGAAGCTCTGCTGCGACTTTGGGATATTTTTCACTTCTGGCTCTGGACTCTGCATGTGGCTTGCCTCTCCCGGACCCTGAGATTTTAGACTGAACAGCACCCGTGGCCACAGGAGACAGTTGTTCAACGTTTTGTGAGTTTCTGTGGGTTGTTGCAGAGAATCAAAGAACCCAGGGACACGAAGGAGAGATACTAAATAGAAGAGTGGGTGGGTGCGAGGGGGACAGGGATAGAGCAAAGTTGTATCTTGGAAGAGTTGGACATTTGGGACATTTTCAATCCCCAACTCCTTGGAATAGTCTTGGAATTAATTCTTATGAAGGAAAAGATTACCACACATTTTGTACCCACGGAAATCTCCTTGAATTAGTTTAAAGAGAAATGCATATTAAGAAATATTAAATTATAATGTGTCGTGGCCTTGGGAAATTTAGTCTTGCCTATTTATGGATGGTGTTACTGGACGTCAAGTCAGTATTCACTCATGGTGATTAGATGCACAGTCTAATTAAACCATTGTGATTCAAAGGGTTTGCTTTAGCTGATTTTCTAAAGTAAACCTCAAGGACTTTCTCCTAGTTCATCTTAGCACAGAAACTCCACTGAGATCTGTTTAGCATGATATAAACTCAGAAGCCTCCATTGACAGATGATTGGTAGGCTCACCTGTGGTTCATTGGCCGATGATCCATCCCAGGTCTCCCTCCTGGAAGGCAAGAGTCTACTGTCAATCCACCTCTTCCCTTTTTCATGTATATTAAAACCCTGTTTGATACATAATAAAATAACAAACACACAATGTGTCCAGTCTTTGAGATGTGGAGATGTTTTACACACTGCCTAGTGTTACAGACTGAGAAAGTAGAATTCTGACCTTGGTATTCCATTGACTGGCTAATCATGTCATCATGAGGGATCAGTCCCTGGAAAAGAATGTCCTGCTTGGTAAAGGGGATGGTCAGGAAGAAGAGGAAGACCCTCGCCAAGATGGATTGACGCAGTGACTGCAACAATGGACCCAAGCCTAACAATGAGGATGGGGTTGGCTCGGGACTGGATAGTGTTTCATTCTGTTTTATGTAGAGTGGTGATGGGTCCTTACTAACTCCTTGTCACCTAACAATAACAACCACAATCTTAGGTGGGGGGTTTTTATGACTCTTTCAGGAACTTTAAATCAGAATGTCTTCATCACTGATGAATCATTAAATCAAGATGTATTTGTGTTTCAAATAGTATAAATTCCTCCATTCCTCTTCTATGATTTCTCCTCCTCATCCAAACAGAATGAATCACTTCCTCATCTATTACCATAGGAAACCATATACAGATTCTATTGTGGCACTAGTATTACAGTTATTTTGCTCTCATATTTACAACTATGTCTACTTTTAGCAGAGAGAGGTTAAGGAGGCATTATTCAAGCTGTTGGAAATGGTAGAGTCACTTTCTTATTCTGCTCTTATCTGCCCATAATGGATGTCCATGTGTCAGATGTTTAAAGGACACTGCCTCAACCTTGTTTCCTAGGGAAAAAAAATGTCTAGATTCTCTTTTGAATCTTCCTCTCTTTTGCTCTTCTATACTGCTGCAAA